TCTTAAAGAAATCCGGGATATTTCAGGTTAGCAGTAAAAGTAGACTAAAATAATAATCAATGTAAGGCTTCTCCTAATTCTCTCCTTTCAATTGACCGAATTTCAAAGATGCTAATCCGGAAAACGATATCTTAAATGAAGGAAAATTTCGTCCAATACTTTAAATAATAAGAAAAAATAGTAGAGAAGAACTTGCAAGTGTCCCTATTTATTCGTTGTTGTTATACTGATGATTTTCAAAACAACAACAAAGGATTAATAAGTTTCGTAATTGCACGAATATCGAAATTATATGACCCTCCCTCTCATACATGATCCTTGTTTATTGACCAATGGTCTACAAAAGCTCTTTAATGCCCAACCCTCAATTTGCATTATAGCCCACTTCTTCTGAGTCAAAAGCATTTTTTTAAAATTGTCGTATGGTGTGTGATATGAGAATTCCTCATACTTTTTCATCCTCTAATATGACCCAGTCATCTTCTGCTAACATTTCAAATAACCGTACGGAAGAATTGGTGAATTCGACAAATCTGGTGTCGGAACACAACTCAGGAGTACTTATTCCGAATTCAAGTGTTCCAAATTCTACTACTGATATGATCTCAAATAACGCTATAAATGAGAGGGTTGTCAGTATTGCTGAAATTCCAAGCTCGTATCAAACAGATGGCGTCATAAGCACTCGTCAATTTTCACCCATCGTAATGGATCCGCCTAATTTGTCGCAGGCTTCATTAAGTAATGACGCAATTGGGCAACAAGGAACAATAAAAAGGGACACCGAGACTGCAGCAACCAATTCCAATAGAAATTCATTACCATTGCTGCCAAGTCGATGTTTGAAACGACGAAACGATAGCGCAGAAGGTCAACAATCATCGAAACAATGCAACGGATTTGATATAAAACAATTATCATGGAGTAAAAATTTTGAAAGGTATTCTGGAATGCAACCAATATCACCAAGTCCATTGCAACAACAATTACAACTAACCGCCATTTCTACATCTACATCTGTTGTAGAAGCGCAAATTTTACCTAATTCATCACAGGTTGCATTAAGTGATGACGCAATGAGCCACAAAGAAGCAATAGAAAAGGATGCCGAAATTGCAACCAATACCAATGGATATTTATTACCATTTCTGGCATCTTCAAAAGTTTCACTAATAAGTCGACAAAGCGACAGTACAGAAGATCAATCGTCAAGACAATGGAACGAATTCGATGCAAAAACGTATTCCGAATTGCAACCAATGTCACCAAGTCCATTGCAACAACAACCGCAACTAACCGATTTTACATCGATTTCGCATTCCACTGAATCAGCATCGAATCAGATGATGCAATGTGGCAATAACACTCTTGGAAGTGAAATATCAAACGGTATGCACGCCGATATATTGTTATGCTCGGAATTTGATCCGCGCAATATGATTCAAGAGTTCCCGAATACTTATTCTTCAGCAGCAATACCACTAGGATCAACACTAGGGAATGAAGCTTTTCAAACGTATTCCGAATCGCAACCAATGTCACCAAATCCATTGCAACAACAATTACAACCAACTGATTCCACATTGATTCCATATCCCACTGAATCATCTTCAGTTCATATGGAGCAATTTTTGAGCGGCTATTTCCATGGCGCTCTTGGAAGTGAGATGTCGAATGATATACACTCCGATATACCGTCATGTTCGAAAATTGATCCACCTAATACGATCCAATCTCCCTCGGCTAATCGTCCTCTAACGGCAATACCGGTAAGTTATTGCTTTATGAAATGAAACAATAGATGTGTAACTTGGTTTTAAAGAGGAATTATTAAAAAGTGACATAGTGACTACTTCCGGAACCATTTCAGAAGTATGAAGAAAAAAAATATTACGTACTGAAAGCATGCGATCAATCGTATTCAACTGCTGAAACAAACAATATAGCAACGTATATCGGATTTCAAGAACCACAATCTTCACAGCAACCTATTCTGAATTTTGGTATTCTGATGGCTGAAGATTATTCAATGAATGAGCAATATCAAGCGGGATCAAATGAAGGACAAGCAAGAATATTCGAATTGCAGGAAAATCGACCGGAAAATAATAGTAAGTTTTTTTTTTTAATTTTTATTTCATGTTATTGAAAATTTAAAAAGGCAACGGAAGAAAAACGCTCGTTTCACAAACATCCCATAATTAATTAGTTGGGTTGAATATTTTTAAGGCTCAAAATTTGGCTATTATTTCTTTTTTTAATGAATGATATAGCTAGTAAAAGGAAAATATCTTCATTAGTTATTCAAAAAGAAAGAATTTATATTCATTGAATTTGATTTTAAAACAATTCCTTATAGTTAGACGACCAACCACAGCAATAAAAGAAAAGTCAAAAAGTCTTTGCGTTGTTTGTGGTGATAAAGCATCTGGTAATCACTATAAGGCATTAACCTGTGAAGGATGCAAGGTATGATATTTTAAAATATTAAATGTAAAACATGAAGAAATAAAAAGTAGCCCAAAATATTGCCCTAAAAAAGTATTTGTTCCAATTAAAATTTGTTCATACAGTGTTATTTCATAAGGTTTCACCTCAACATTGCATCCTTTGTAATCAATTGATATATCATTTAATCTTAATTGATTAATTAAGAATAAATGCTTAAAATTATCAGCAGACAGATTTGAAGCAATACCGTTTGATATCATATTAAATGTTTAATGTATAACGCCGGATTGAACTGCTGTGGGCGCTTTTCAATAATGAGAGCATAGTATGCAAAGAGTAATCAACAATGAAAAATTTGAATCATATCTCAAAAAATTTTAGCCATCAATTTTTTAGCAATAATTTAGATAGCAAAATTCTATTCTTCCATCCACCTATTTATTAACTTCTAATTCATAACTTCAGAGCTTCTTTCGACGATCGATGCAGAAGAAAGAGCAGTACAAATGTAACCGGGATGGGAATTGCCCAATAACGCCGAATACCAGAAGTAAATGTCAGAAGTGTCGTTTAATAAAATGTCTCGAAATGGGAATGGATCCGAATTCTGTGTGTAGGAAGGAACAAGAATAGATGCACATATATTCTTAAACAATTCAGCATTTCGAAATTTACATTCTACTTCAGAATATTTTTGTTTAATGAATTTTATAATATTTTTGTTTAATGGATTTTATAATATTTTTGTTTAATGGAATTTACAATATTTTTGTTTAATGCATAATCGCTATTATATATGCTATTGCATATTGCATATTGTATATTATATACGTGCTGGTGGAATTCTCTTAAAATTTAGGAGCAAAATGTTTGTAGGAAATTAAAATACTCTCTATTGAATACGATGAAAAAATTTCAAAAATGTGATTAAATCATTTTCGACAGATGATTTGTAAGAAATGTCTTATAATTGATAGATGAACCGTTTGATAATACAACTTGTGATACATATATAATACAGCTTAATAATTCAATTTATTTCATATCTCTTTTTATTGTTGTTGTTGTTGTTGTTGAAAATCGTACAAGTTTCTGCTTTTTTTTGATCAAAATTTGCAGTTATTGGTGCCTTATCTGTGTCGAAATTTACTACTGTATCATTCAATCATTTAATACTCTCCACCTTTTTATCATTGCTTTGAAATTTTCTAATATTTCGAAAAATGAATTTTATCATTTAATTATCATTGAAAAAATTCTTATCATGTTCATACATTTTTTGTCGTTTAAATGTTTTTTACCACATATGTATCACATACTTCCATCTATCAATTTCTCTCAATTATATCGTCTGCTGTTAATGATTTTATCGATAAATTTTAACAACTGATTTTATTCCTGTTTTTGATAATTATATAGTTACCATTTTCTTTTCAATCCACACTTGCAGTTTTTTGTGCCTTATCGGTGTCGAAATTTACTGTATCATTTAATCATTTAATACTCTTTTTCTTATCATCAATATTTTAAAAATTTTTTAGTATTTTAAAATAAAATTATCATCTAATGTGTCATTGAAAATATTCTTATCATGTTTATATATATTTGTCTTTTGAATGTTTTCACTCACACATATACCACAATACTTTCATCTGTTAACTTCTTTCGATTATATCCTCTGCTATTGATGGTTCGCTCTACCGATAAATTTTTAACAATCAATTTTATTCCTGTTTTTGATAATTGTACAGTTTCTGTTTTCTTTTTGATCTATACTTGCAGTTTTTTGCGCGGCGTCGAAATTTACCGTATCATCAAACCATATAATACTCTTCTTCGTTTCATTTTTTGAGTATCCCAAAATAAATTTATCATTTAATTGTCAGAGAAATTTTATCATGCTAATACATTTTTATCTTTTAAATGTTTTTATCACATATCTGTCACATAATTTTCATCTGCATATTTCTCTCTGCTATTCATGGCTCTATCCGATAAATTTTTAACAAATCGATTTACTTCGGATCCTAGCAAATATTTCACTTTAAGATTTCCTATTGTTTATTCAACAATTACTCAAAATTTAATTAGTTGATGAAAAACAAAAAAAAAACATATTCGTTGTTTCAAAAATAATCAAAATATATTGATTGATACATAGGTCAGATAAAGTTGAAATGATTCTCTTCCATAATATTGAAAATAATTTGCATACATTTCTTTTTACTCTCTATTATAATTTCCGAAGATACTTTACGATCAGTAATTTCAAAGTTGTATTCCGTTATGGTTTCCGAAAATAAATTACTGAATAAATGAAGCAAATAAGCATGCTTCATACTGCAAAAAAGTTTCCTGCATAAAGAAAGTTTCGGTAATCTTTATCACTTTATGATCAATATTTATCAAATGTGTTATCGTAGCAATGAGAGAAATCATTGAAGTATAATGATTGATTAGATAAGAATTGAAATTGCATATTTTTGACAAGGAGTAAATAATTAAATATGAAATTGATATTAGAAGATATGAAAGTAATTGACATTATCAGATATGAAAGCAATTGACATCGTAACAAACAAATATTCTTTTTCAACTGCAACAGAAAAACAACAACAAAAAATCAATAACATAGAGAAAACAGTAATCGGTGATGATGATGATGATGATACGACAAAGTGGGAGAAGATACGATGAAATGAGAAAAGATCGAAAGTATTTTGTTGAATGGAGGGAAAATTCTAATACAATCAATATAATTTATGACAATTAATTTTTCTGAGGAAAAGAGTTTTACTTCGTGGATGATTATCTCTTTTTCAATTCTTAATCGGTCCATCTTCTCTAATCGATTAACTATTGCACTGTATATTTTCTTTAGCCTAAAAAAAATCAATATTGCTATTATTAAATATGATGAATTTTTTTTTAGGATAAATTAATTAGTAGTCTAAATTCTTGGCTTATTTGAAAGTAAAATTTTATATATAAGAAAATTTGTTTGATTTGTGGAACAAAGGAAGCATTAATTGTCGATAGGTACGCTGTAAATTGTAAATGTGCCTGATGCCTGATAGATTCACAAAACTTACCAATTCATCAGATATTACAAGCCTTTGAGGTTGACGTGATTCAACTTCTTTCACGTAGTTACCTGAAATGAAAAGATAGTTAAAATTTGTCATCTGGTAATTAATTGCTCACCTTCATTCCAAAATAGCACATTCTTTTTCTTTGAAAAGTTGCACATAGAAGTTAAACTTACGTCGATATCATTGATTCCATTTCTCTCTCTCTCTCTCTCTCTCTCTCTTCTCGGTGCTTAAGTAAAAGAATAAAATAAACTAACTTGATTGCAGCGATGTCGTTGGTAATTGTTGATCGATCTGAAAGCGAAAAACATTTTTTTACAAATGGTCTATTATTGTGCTAATAATATTCCTGGAAATTAATTTCAAAATTTTTTAATCAATAAATATAATCATTTTTAATTTGGAAATTTAATTTATTGATTTTGGGATTGTTTTTCGCAAATTACACGATAGATTTATTTGAAATTTAAAACAAAAGTATTGCTTAAAATTATTGTGATATTGTAACAGCAACAAAATTTAACAATATCAATCAAATACTTAACAGTAATTCGAATATATAATCAAATAATCAAAATATATATATAACATTCAAATATATAACAAGTTGATAAGAATTCTGAAAAGAAAGAAACTTTTCTTGACATCAAATTCCTCCTCTTTCATCACATCTGCGTCCAAGATGGAGCACAAAGGAACTCTTACAATGATTCAAATTCTTCTTAACTTAATTTCTTTAATTAATTTCATTAGCATTAAGATTTGTAGAAAGAATTAATAGAATTTTCGTTTACCATTTCTGAGGTCATATTCGTCGTAAATTCTGTACTGACGTACTTACACACATTTTTTTCCATCCGGGACATTTTAGAAGGCAATTTATTGAAATTAGAATCCGATGTAGAATTAGCAGTACTTGATGGTGGTTTTATTCGTTTGGAGATGGATTGATGACCAAGTAATGATGATGTGGAATTTTCCACTTTAACAATTTTTGATAAGCCTGGCTTAACATTCTCTTGCTCATCAGCATTTTTCACTAAATTCCATTGTTTTTGGTATTTTAAGTAATTATGTGTCATGAAGTCGACTGCATCCGGTAGCGATGGCGGTGGCATATTCAATGAAACAGCAATTGCTCTAGCTTCTTCCCAAGCATCTTGTGCTAATCTAGCATGATGTGTCGCTTGATCATGCAACAGTCGTATTTTTTTAATAAGTGGTGAATTTTGCTGAAATTCATCTGTCGCTTGCAAAAATTTCGTAGAAGGTAGCGAGAACGATTGTGTTGCAATGTTTGTTTGTAAATTAGATGATGTTGGGAGTTGCAGTAGCGCAACATTCACCTGCGGACTAGAACATAATGGCAGCTGTAATGTAGTAACATCCGCTTGCATAGCAGAAGAGAGTGACGTCGGCTGTAGCGTAACTTTCAATTGCTGATTGGAAGATACCGCGCGATTTGTTTGCGGAGTAGAAGATGAAGGCAGCAGCTGTATCATAGTGTTCGCTTGCATAGTAGAAGAAAGTGGCGTCGGCTGTAACGTAACTTTCAATTGCTGACTGGAAGATACCGCGCGATTTGTTTGCGGAGTAGAAGATGAAGGCAGCAGCTGTATCATAGTGTTCGCTTGTATAGTAGAAGATAGCGGCAGCGGCTGTGACGTAACTTTCAATTGCTGACTGGAAGATACCGCGCGATTTGTTTGCGGAGTAGAAGATGAAGGCAGCAGCTGTATCATAGTGTTCGCTTGTATAGTAGAAGAGAGCGGCAGCGGCTGCAGCGGATTCAATTGCTGATTGGAAGATAACGGTAACCGCTGTACCGCGCAATTTGCCTGTAGAGTAGAAGATGAAGGCAACGGCTGTATCGTAGTGTTCGCTTGCATTGTAGAAGATAATGGCAGAAGCTGAAGCACAACGTTCGATCGCAGATTAGAAGATAATAGCGATTGCTGTGGTGCAATATTCGTTTGTGAATCGTTAGTATTATTGAGTGAATACTTCAACATTTCTGTTGACCGGCAGTTCTTCCATAGGTTACCATCGTTGAATTCTTTATCATTATTGCTTGATTCATTTTGATTTAAGCAAATATCAGTAGAAAGTGGATAGAGTCGTTCTCTTGATACATTGGCTTCGTTTACGATACCATCCCGGTATGGGTTACTACTGGTTACGTTAATAGTATATGAAATTGGTGCAACGGAATAGTAAAGTGTAGTTGATTCAAAGGTAATGTCACTGCTCGAATTGGGTAAAGTTGGCAATGCAATAATGGTTGGTATATAAAAAGGATGCTGTTCCATAAATCAAAAATACTGGCCGAATGGAAATTGCAGCGAAGAATTTGAATGATCTGAAAATTCTCTTCGAAGATTACTTAGAATAAAGATTCACAAAATTATTTGCAACATTTAGACGAATCAGTATAGTAAATTTATTTCTGCAAATAAAATACTGAGAACAAATGTCAAAATTGGAATAAATTAGGAGAAGAAATTTTTATCAAAAAACTATAATATCAACAATATAAATTAAATAATTCATGATACTAAATTCATCAAGAAGAAGCGGAACTTTTGAATTCTAAGAGGAAAAGTTCTCTTTTGGGAAATTTGATATCAATTAAATTATTTAATAATTCACACTAAAACTTAATGCGAATGAGACATCAATGCGCCGCTATACTAATTATACTAATTATGAGAAATAATTATAAACGTTTCGAAGTTAGCGAATATCGATACTTTCGACAATTCAGCAGATAATGCGCTTTATGATTTTGTTTTAATTAACCAATAAGCATTATGATCCCTTTAAATTTCTACAAAACAAACTATTTTACCATTCTTTGACATCTTTAATGAAGAATTTAGTACAGATTTCATAATTATCATTTCTCGATTCTGGAGCGAATAAAATAATATCCTATGCTAAATTCTGAGAAGTGATTATAAACGTTTCCAAGTTAACTTTTGATTTGCGGAGCTTTATTCACTCCAGAATCCTTCGAATAATACAACGTGCAGCAAAAACACTTTTTGTTTCAATCCGATGAAATCAAGATTTTTCTATGCTAGAATACTATTCGGATCGATAGACATTCAAAGAGATGAATTTTTTAATTTTATAATTACATTACAGATCGAATTTTACAGTAATTACATTACAGGTCGAATCTTAAAATAATTACATTACAGATCGAATTTTAATAGTGACATCTTTGAATTAGCAAATTATAAGAACGAGAATAATTGTCATAAAAAATAGAACAAATGATGAAAGAAGAAAGGAATTAAAATAAGCAGTAATATTCTCGAATTCTCAATTTGATCTGATAATTCCCTCTCAATTTTATCGCTTTTTGGGTGTCTCTTGCGCAAGATATCATTTTCTTAATTATGTAATTTAATATTTCTGTTTTGCCTAATTAATTATTTCTAATCGCTTATCATAAGAATTTGGCGCAAATTATTTTTTTGAGTTCGAGATAGAGAGAATGTTCGCTATGAAATCTATCCGAAATTCTTCATTGAAGATATAAGGAAATTTCAGTGCTAGAATTTGGTTAAGATTGGAAAGATAATAGTAGTTGATATTCAAAGTTTCGGTTCCATGAATTAAAGATGTTGGTGGAATGCAGACTGCAGTGAAGGATAATGATACTGCAAGATTTTTTCTGAAGTATAGTTTACTTTAGAATTCCAGAAACTTAAAGAGCTCGTCGCAATGCTTACTGATTGACTAAGACTCAATTCCTAAAGTGCATCAGCAACTAAATCGGTCTTACGAGCAAACTGTGGTCAATTCGAAGGAAATTTCAACGCTTAGAATTGGGTTAAGATTGAATAATAGGAGTTGATACTCAAGGTTGCTTCCATTGCACCAATTTCAAAAATTGTTAACGCAACTAGTATTCTTTACCGGGATACTATTGGAAACGAGAGTGCGTCCAGCAAACGACTCACCCCATTTTCTACTTCTATATGCTTAAATTCGAGTAACTTAAGCAACAGTGATGAAAAACACTATGATGATGATGATGATCCATAGAATAACTATAATGAATCAATGGAAATGTCGGAGTTGACCTATTCAATCAATATCACTAGCGATTAGCAAGCGAGCGTTCTGACATTCTTTCTTTAGTCTGAAGGCAAAACGTTGCGCTACTGCGATTGCTAATATCGTTTAATTTACAAACAAATATTGCAACGCAGTCGTCACCATTGTTTTTTTAAAAATGTTTACAAACAACGAGATGAATTTCAGCGAAATTTATCATTTATTCAAAAAAAATTGATTGTTATACGACGAAGCAATATATCATGATAGATTAATATAAATTAATATAAATGGATGTAGTCGATTTCATAACAGATAACAAAAATAAAATAAACTTAAGATGACAAAAAACTTAAGATAACAATAAACTTAAGATAACAAAAATAGTTTGAAATAATTGGAAAAGCTAAATAGGGAACATTAAGCTAGATCAATGAAAGATCGAAATTTATCTTTATACTTTCATTCTACCATAAATCTAAACGGAGAAAAAGATTTCAGAAATTTCATAATTGTTGTTTAAGATCAAATTAATACTCATACCGCAATTTTCTCTTTTCATTTTAAATTTTGCTGGACTTCGTTCAGTTATAAACAACATCTATTTCACTACTTAATACCACTGTAATACTTATGTACTGCACGGATCATATATAAAACAATGTGCAGTTTCTTTATTTAAATTCAATACTACCCGTGAACAATATAAAACTCCTTGAATTTCAATTGTAGACAATGAGAATGCTTTAAAATATGCTATGATATTTTTCTTTTAATTACACAAATTTGTTACTAAAACTTGATATTGTTCATTCATTAAATAATCTCCGATTACCGTAACACCAAAATTTAGAATTGGTTGCTGTGAAGATTGTGGTTGAAATCCGGTTAATATGGCACACGCTGTTATATTGCTTGTTTCAGCATTTGAAAACGATTGATCACATACTTTCTCATGATCCTGAAATGATTTCGGAAAGTAATTACTATGTAACTTTTTAATAATTCCTAAAACCAAATTACATATCTGCTGCGTCATCTCATGAGGCAACAACTTACCGTTATTGTAGATAGAGGTAGTCAGGAGCGGTTGAATCGTACAACGTGGATCAATCAATGATATATCGGAGTACATACCATTCAATATCTCACTTCTAAGAGCGTTATTGAAATAGCCGCTCGAAAGTTGCTCCAGATGAACAAATGTTGATTCAGTGGGATATGGAATCGATGTAAAATCAATTAGTTGTGATTGCTGTTGCAATGGACTTGGTGATATTGGTTGCGATTCGGAATATGTTTGAAAAGCTTCTTCCTCTGCTGTTGGTCCTAGTGGTATCGTTATTACAGAATAGGTTCCCGGAAATTCTTCAATCGTATCATGCGGATCAATTTCCGAATATAACGATATATTGGCGTGCACACCATTTGATATCTCACTTTCAAGAGTGTTATCGCAATATTGCATAATCTGAATCGATGTTGATTCAGTAGAATGCGGAATCGATGTAAAATCAGTTGGTTGTGATTGCTGTTGCAATGGACTTGGTAGCATTGGTTGCGATTCGGAATATGTTTGAAAAGCTTCTTCCTCTGCTGTTGGTTCTAGTGGTATCGTTATTAAAGAATAGGTTCCCGGAAATTCTTCAATCGTATCATGCGGATCAATTTCCGAATATAACAATATATCGGAGTGCATATCGTTTGATATCTCACCTTCAAGAGTGTTATCGCAATACTGCAACATTTCTATCGATCGATGAGAGATTTCTATCGTGCGGGCAATTTTTAAAAATGCTTTTGCCTCAGAAAAAGCGGGCTATAATGCAAATTGAGGGGTGGGCATTAAAGAGTTTTTGTAGACCATTGGTCAATAACCAAGGACCATTTATGAGAGGGAGGATCATATAATTTTCGATATTCGTGCAATTACGAAACTTATTAATCCTTTGTTGTTGTTTTGAAAAAAATCATCAGTATCACAACAACGAATAAATAGGGACACTTGCAAGTTCTTCTCTACTATTTTTTCTTATTATTTAAAGCATTGGACGAAATTTCCTCCATTTAAGGTATCGTTTTCCGGATTAGCATCTTTGAAATTCGATCAATTGAACGGAGAAAATTAGGAGAAGCTTTACATTGATTATTATTTTAGTCTACTTTTACTGCTAACCTGAAATATCCCAGATTTCTTTAAGG